CTAAGCATCTATTGCAAAAGACCTTTTCACAGGTGAGGTGCAACTTTATTTCAACAGCACAACTTTTGTCTAGCCCTCGTGCTGGGTCTCCATTTGTCCATTATTTATTGAGTATTGACCCTCTGTCAATACCCTATCTGGCAGCTTGTGCATATGCTGTTTTATTGCTTGTGTTTATTAGCTGCCTTCTTGTTGTTTTCTTGGGTCCTTTTGTCTGCATGCTGGCTGCCCTGGTGTCCACTTCCTGCCTGTCCCCTAAGCACTATAACATACGCCAGGCTGTCCTTTCTCCTGCCTGTCATCCTTTTTTCCTTGTGTGTGCTTGCTGCAGTCTGATTGTATGCATGATACAAATCCAGTAGCCTGTGCTGCTTTCTGCGTTGATCTCCAAACAAAACAGAGACCCAAAGCATATATATCCAGGTTCTCTCCTTCTGCAGTCAGGTTAATTTGACCTTAATGTGTGTGTGTGTGTGTGTGTATGTTTTTTTTTTAAACAAATACCCCCACCACCACCACCCCCCCTTCGTCCCCAGGGCTGGTAAGCAGGACGGTGCTACAAGCCAGCAGACGTGGCAAGATGAGTGAGGCGCAGCAAACTAAAACGAAAGAGGAAGAGAATTAGAGTTGTGTACATGATGAATGCCATGTATTAGTGCCACGGGCAAAGGGGGGGCACCTTACCTTCGGCAGAGGAGTCTCTGTGGTGGGGAGGAGGCCGAGGAGGAACCGTGACAAAACTGATAGCGATCTCGAGTCCCCGGATGATCCGTCTGGGAAGTCTGTGAGGGGGATATTTTGGAAACTGGCTCCAGACAAGTGGGAAAGTGCCACTGGACTTGCACTCCTCTGACCCTGTCGATCGTCTGTGAGATTTATTTGTTTTGATATGGAAGAGTATTCCCTTCAGTGGGGATGTTCTGTAATTGACAGCCTCCCCCCTGTGGCACCCCCTGACTGATCTCAGTCAGTGTGCCCTGCTTCGTGTGTTAAGTGCATCTGAGTACGCATCCCATTTACCGGTCGTCACACCTCCCCCCACCCCCCCATGTACGAAGGCCATATCATTTCAGGGGAAACTCTGCACCAACTGTGATTGGGTGAATCGCTTTGGACGCAGTGGAGTTTGACTCTGGGCCATCGAGGCCCTGCTGGTGAGGACTGAGCCGATAGGGGAAGGAGGCATGTTTGAGAAATGGGAACAGGGCATCTTGGGAGTGAGAGTATTGATCAGCTGGGAGAGCAGGATTGAGCGTTGGACTGACCTGCTAACGCTGGCGTAGTGGTGCATTCTGGGAGCAAAGAGACCTAGTCAGGTGACCTGCATTCCGGAACTGGCGATGCCGCTCCGCGGAGTTCGAGTTCCGCGGCCGGCAGTACCAGTGCCTGTGTGTCTGTGTGTGTGCGTGTGGGTGTGTGTGTGTTTGTGTGGGTTTTATTTACCATACCGGTAGAAGAAGCATTGTTTTGGCATGCCTGTCTATGTTCTAGCCATGGAAGGATGGAGTGAAATTATGCTAATGGTTGCTAATTATGACCTTGGAGACACTCCGTGCTGCCAATTTATCTGCTTAATAAGACCCTTCTTTTTAATCTGTACATCACTACATGCTTTAAATGTTTTATGTGGGCTCTCCACCAAGACAGGTCTGCCAACTTTAAATAAAATAGCTGCTGTAACCTGCTCACCCAGGGAGTTGAATTGTATAGTAATTAGACTTCAAAGGCTTGGAGGAAAATAGACATTTTATTGCTTGAGAGGAGCTATGAAGGGCTTCTGTCGGCCCACTGAGCGGAGCCCCAGGGAGCGGCGTGCGTGCGGCGTGTGGGCCCGGCCGGCGAAAGGCCGGGATAGCTCCTTCCGGGGCGGGGGCCGGCATTTGGGCGGGAGGGTGGCGCGGGTTACAACGGACGCTTACACCTCCAGCGGGCCGGCGGAGTTCTGTGAGGGCATTGTTTCATTGTTCATCGCTTCCCAATAATTGCACCCGGCAGTCATGTGTCCACAGACAATAGCAGCGTCTGTTTGCTCCTGGTAAATCAGTAATCGGTAATATCTAACTTCAGGGTTATTGGACACTTTGGAAATTATAGTAGGAGAACTGAGCCCGAGCTTAAGCCTGGTTAAAACCTGGACTCCCCCAGCTTAGAGGATTCCCCCCAACAAGGAAGAATCTGGGGGCCTCATGCATTGGACCGGCACCTCTGGCCGGCTAATTCCTGGGTGATAAAGAAATTCTGAAACCCAACAGCTATCGATCATCGCGATCGATTGGCCCACCGATCCCCGACCTCAGAGAGAATCGGATTTAATGGGCAGCTAATGAATCTGCGGCCTTGGGCAAACAGTCACATGGTGGATGGGGAAGGGGCCGGAATTCACCCCTCTGTGTCCACAGCCGCTTCCAATGTAAAATCGCACCTTGCTATTCGCTGCTTCTCATTTCAGGACAAAAATTACCTCTTTGTATTTATCCCTGTCCCTGTGTACATAAAAACCTCATCTGTGTTTCCATGCGTATTTGTATTGAACGGAAACATCAACTCTCGGAATGCGCTTGTTTCCTCACACAAAATCACCCCTGGATATTTACTCACATTTACGCTTCGATTCAGAAGCGACACTCGGGCCGCTTATGTGTTTTACCGCGCAGTGATTTCCCGCCTTTCCTCGCCTTCTTATCCTAAACGCTTTTCAGCGTTCATCTGCACTCCTGTTCTGCCACAGCACGAAGCGGAGTCACTCCGGTTTGGCGATGAGTGTGAACACCCTCAAGCGGAGTCACTCCGGTTTGGTGATGAGTGTGAACACCCTCAAGTGGAGTCAGAGTTGCCTTAGGTCCCGGCAGGTCAGCGTGTGTGCATGGCCATGCCGCCCGCGAGTTCGGAGGAGACCTCGCCAGTTCATTTTGGTAGGGGGGGGGAGGGGTTGGACAAAGGGGCGTGGTCTGCGAAAGGCGGAGTGGTGGGAGGCGGTCTCAGCAGGGGCCGGAGTGCGGGGGTGGCCGGGGGCCGAAAACAAAAGGTTCCAGTGTGCGAGAATGAAAGGAGGTAAAGTAAACAGGTCCTGATGAGAGCTGCCCTGTGGTACGGGGGCCTGGAGTGGGGCTCCGTGGCCCTGCTGCCGTTTACACAGCTGGGCCTACCACCAGGGCCTGGAAAACCACCCCCCTGTCTAAGCCACCAAGCTCCAGATCACACAAAAAAAAAAAAATACATTTCATACAATTTGTGTACTTTCAAATTGTCCCTCCAGATTTCTATGCCGCCTTTATTCTGCATTTTCAAGTCAAATTTTTGAACAAGGGGATCATGGTTATGATAAAAAATACTAACTAATAATTATTGTCGTTACAGTCATTATATTGATTGTTACTGTGTTTTATATTACTGTACTGATTTTATTGTTTTTATTATTATGCTGGAAATTAGCTCTAGTCTTGTTTACCTGTGTCACAGCCTCGGACAGTTTATTTGGATAATTTTAGCCCTCTGCTTTTTAAATTAGACACATTATATCATGTTTGCTTTCGCGGCGGCTAGAAAGCAAATAAGTGATAAATTAGAGCTGGGAAATTGGAACTGGGCTACACGCGCAGCGCCGGTAAATCCAATAGAGAGAGGGAGGGCTTTCTTTATAGTTTACCGCGCGGAAACCTCTCTGTCGGGCAAATAGACTGGACCGAACCGGAGCCATTGTGTTCGCCGGTGTCGGCTAATCGGAACAATCTGGTGTATTAAGGTCCCCCGTGCCGACCCGAAGGATGAGCCGGTTAGCCTCGTTAGAAAAGAGCTCCGTGCGCGTAGCGGCGCTGCGGCTGTTAAAATACACACGCTGCCGGAAAGGACCGGCGGCTGGGCTGCGAGGCACGGGTATTTTATCTCTTACTTTTAATTAGAGGTGCTTCTTGCGGCTTTCATGTGACAGTCTTGTAAACAGCGTGGAAAACATATTCATTAGAGCTCCGGCGGTCTGCCTTTGTGGCGTGCCGGCTCTCTCCCGCCTGCCTGCCGCTCACTTTCATTTCTGAGACACGGCTGCATATTACCCAAGGTGATAGTGCAATAGCTTCAAGGCTGAGAAGTGCTCGGAAAAGCTCTCAGGAAGGGCAGGGAACAAGATTAAATTCTTTTTTGTAGCATATTTATTCTTCTATTCACCGGGGGAAAATTATTTGTGAAAAGACGGAGTTAACCTAATAAATACCAGGGAGCATATCTTCTCTGAGGATATCAATATTCTTACCCTGACACTTGAGACAAATCGGTGGCCTCCGCTTTCATGTGTGACGCGCCGGGCCTTCGTTTTTGGGGATGACTCACCGGTGGGGCCCAGATTTCACGTGGATGCTGTCAGAATCGATCGAGGCTGGACTCCTCTCGGCGAGGCTGAAATCCACACCCCCACGGCAAGGACAGACATTCAGCATTCGCAATTTTCTGTGCGAGTACCAGATATTGTGTATATTAGGAAGCCTTCGAATAACTTAATGGTGAATGATTATTAATGATTTTATTATAGGTGTTGTTATCGTTTGATTTATTTTCCGTTACATTTATCCAGTAAATAATAATAATGAGTCCGAAGGTTGTTCTAGGAAACACGGGACGCAGGGAGGGGACATCTAGCTGGGATAATTTTAAATATTATTATTCATTATTTCTTAATATTATTGGGATTACTCTGTAGCAGCGTTAATAACTATGTGTGACTATTTTGAATAACTGTCTGTTTAAAAATTATTTTTAGTTGTTATTATTGAGTTTCATTACAGCTTTCGGGAAGGTAATAGCGAGTCGGGATGTGGGCTGCTATTTATATTAAGTTTCTGTGTAATTTTACGGTGGGGGTGGGTAGGGGCGCAGGATAAAGTTGGAGGGGTTAAGCAGTCACAGTGCAGGACGGTGTGCGTCTCCTACGCCCTCCGCTCTGCGCATGTGTTCGCAGGACGTCTCAGTCACTCGCTTTCTCTCTCTCGCTCGCTCCCACTCTATTCCAGGATGTCTTCCAAGCGACCAGCCTCTCCATATGGGGGAACAGATGGAGAGGTAGTCATGGCGACCAGCAGACAGAGATTGGAAGATGAGGAGAGTGATGGACAGCCTGTCATTCACTTGCCCCTAAACTCCTACAGCAGCAAGGCGTCCCCCCGGTCCCTGGACAGCCCGGCCAGCCTCCACAACTCCACGGTAGGACCCCCCCCACACACACACACCCAGATCCCTTGGTCTACCCCTCAGCAGATCTTTTGGGGATTCTCCCTGTCCCCAAACCCTCTTCTGTGTGACAGGACAAGCTTCATGCTAGCATCCCTAAGAAACACACCTGGGCGTGTTTGTTACAGTGGCGCCGCCCTTGTGGTGGGTTCTGTTGGCAGGAACTTTGCTGTTTGCTCTAGGGACTTTAGACCCCAGCTGCACATTTGAGTCCAAGGCATCATGACTGGCAGCCACTTCACGCGCTCTACATGGGTTTGCGTGCCGTCCACCCGGAGTGTTGATCTGCGGTCACTGTGTGGCCTTGTGTGTGTGTGTGTTTGTGTGTGTGTGTGTGTGTAGTTGTGTGAACTCAGCAACCTCCTCACATGGAAGCGCATCTGAACACAACAACAGGCAGGGCTGACCCAGTCACGGTATCTCCCAGATAAACACGTCCACAGAGCGTAGACTTTGGACAGCCATGCAGGACAGAGGTTCAGTCCCCAAGAGTCCTTAATCATAAGTTAATTTCGTAATTAACATGATGATTACGGGTCTTACAAGGGAATTACTGGACTCTGAACTTGGAATTGTCTCTCATTATAAAAACCAAAGTCACCCTTCATTCCTTCATTCGTTTTCTGCTCTTTCTGTTTCAATCTCGCCCACTCTCTTCCTTCTTCCTCCTCTCTCTCTCTCCCTTTCCAGTTGTCAAGGTGCTTTACTGGCATGGAGTTAAGGTGTTATTGCCAAAGCAGTTAAAACAATAAAAATAGGGCGATTACAATGAGGATATCATAGCCCTCTGGCTCTGTGGAGCCTGACATTCTGTGCTTTGTACAGTAGCACACTCTAAATTTGTCCTCGGTAAATTGGGGACTTATTGTTTTGACTTGAGAATCCGTGCGTGTGGTGCATGTGTTTCTGATTATGGGCTCTGCATTGAATGCTCTCAGCCCCTCCGTTCTTGCATGCCTTCAGCCCGCAATAACATACTGGGTCTGTCTCTGGTTGCTGGCTGCCTTATCAAGACTCGCTCCTGGTGCCTTTGACCCGGGTGGTCGTGACAGGCGTTACCTAAACGGGAACGGCACGTGCCCAAATGGGCAACCCCTTTTCAAAGGAGAAAAGGAACATGAGCAGCAGCATCTGTTTTGGCTGAGGGAAAGAAATAGCATTTAGATTTATTGGCAATTTATTGGTTCCTTGCGTTGTTGAAATAACTACAGTAGTGCAGTATCCTGATGTTTCAATTTATTTACAAATTTGCCGGGCTATATATGCATACTCTAGTAGTACACAGAAATACAAAATGTACACAGAAACAGCAGCAGGAACATCAAGTACCGAAAGGGAAGTTTTACAGCGGGTCTCCCCCGATTCTCGACATTATGGGAGCTGGTCCGTAAAATAATGAAGTATGAAAGAGTGCGAAAGAAAATGAAATTACAGGGTACCACTCAAATGATACCAAATGTAATTCAGTTTGTGAGCGCTGAAGGGGGCCTCGCAAACACACATTACGGACATTACACTAACGAATCCTCCTAACAATTTAGATAAAAATTATGAATCTCCGTGATCATAAATCAGCATTATTATTATCATTACTAAAACAAAACAAGTAATAATAATAATAACAACATATTCATGATAATTAAAATGTCAAAATAACACAATATTATAATGGCCATTCTTGTTTTGAATATTATTGTTATTGTTGTTTTGTTACATTTATTTTATTTTGGTAGCTAATGAAACTGACTATAGTAGTTTTTTGTTTCTTTTTATGGCTAATATATTTTAAATGTTTATTTTGTATCATAATTACCTTACTCGTAAATCGCGATGGAAGACTTCATCCAACTCCAGCAGCAAACGAAAAAAAAATGTTTTTCTGCAAACCTCTCAAATCTCCAAACGTGAAATATGAATTTAATCCTTTGACTGACACCTCAAATGGAAAAGGGGGAAAAGCCCGTATATTGACGTGGATTATTATGTGCTACCCATCTCGTGGAGGGGTGGATTTTTGGAGCGGGCTGGCATGTGTAAGAGGCGAAGTTTGTCGGGGCTTTAGCGCCAATCCGCTCGGCGCTGACTGGCAGCGGAGTTGAGTGAGGGGGAGATTTACATGCGGGAACTCCGAGGGGCTTTGTCACGGCAATTGTATAAAGTGATATACAGTGTAAATCGACTCCGCGTGTCCCTGGGTAGCGGCTGGTTTACAGGCGCTAGCGAGAGGAGATTACTGCTTTATCTTGTCATACTAAATTAACACGGCAGCGCACACTTCAGCACCGCTGACCTCTTCATCTGGAGCCGCCGCAGCTCGGAGAGGAACAGAGCGGTATTTAAAGGCGCCGTCCTGCGGGAGTAGGCTGTGTGTGTGTGTGTGTGTGTGTGTGTGTGTGTGTGTGTGTGTGTGTGTGTGTGTGTGCGAGCGCGCGTGCATGTGTGTATCAGTCTGTGTTAAAAGGCTTGCTTGTTCTCCCTTTTTGCCCCCCCCTCCCCCTGAGATTACAGTACAGACCGCATCTTTTACAAATGAAGGGAGGGAATGTATTTACACGCAGGTGATAATATCCAGGTGATAATTAATTCCTTTTTGTCTGATTAATGAGCGGGCCTCGCCAGACAGGACTAAACGGAGAAAATTCGTTCACCCACCCATTTCATGTCCAATTTCTGTGAGTACTGTTTACTTAAAAATTAAACGCGAACTTGACAGTTTTACAAATTCGTTCTCCGAGATAATAATTGGATTACGGTTTATAAGTAACACAAACATTATGATTGTGCACCGGCCTGTAACAATTTATTTTAGTACCCTGTATTATAAATGTTTAATGAACACATTTATGAGTAGCTGAATAACACTTAATTGGCGCACTTAAAATGAAGCGTGACTAACGGACTTTATTGATACTGTAGCTCTTTTAAAACAAACAAAATCGTAGCGTGGAATTTTACTTTTTGGAAGTTTTCAGTTAAGTTTTAATAATTCCGTTGAGCGTGATTCTACAAGAGCTTCGGGGGTTTTGGAAGACAGTGTATTTAATTATCAGATTGAATGTATGCACAAGTATTTGCGCATGTAATATAAGCATTTACAATGACAATAATTAATGACTTTTAAATTATTTTAGGACTATTTGTAGGTCTGTATCTCCCGCCTCTGTGGTAATATCCCTGCGTATAATAAATTAATGAAGATGACTAGTAAAAATGATCACACTGCATATAGTTGTTGTTTATTTTAACTAACTGTGCAAAATCTATAAATTTTCATCTTTAAATTCGATACTTATCGTGGTGTTTCATTACTCCCTCCGACCGATAGAGAATTCCCCGGGGCGTGCTGCTCTCTGGGCCGACTCTGGTGTAAACTGTCAGCGCCGTTCAGCGCTGGAGGTAAGGCAGTTATCTGTGAAAAGTGCTTTTTCGGCACAGGTTTCGCAGGCTTTGAAATCTCTGCGGCCCTGTCGCCGACTCAAACGGCTCGGAATCGAAGCTGACAATCGCGCTCCTCAGCCGGCGCGCTGATCGGGGGGTGTGCGCCGGGGGACCTTAGAGCTGGAGCGCGAGAGGGTGGGGGCTGGGGGTGGCATCCCGGCTCATTCCTGCTTATTCCACCTTCCTTCCGTTATGCATGCGTGCAGCGTTTTGGCGCGTTAGAGGCATTTGCTATTGTCTGCAGTAATCAAGGTCAGATGCCCCATTCTATCTAGCACACTCCGAGACGGGCCAAAATTTGTTCCCAGACAGCTGTTTAAAAATTAAAAGGTCCATTGTAAACTCCTGAGTGCTGGTCACACTCTATCAGTTTCTTATTTTCTGTTTAATTTCTGTTCAACAAATTCCCCCCGCCTTATTTATTTATATAGTTTCTAGGGAGTCCCTGCGTGATATCTGGGTTTTTTATCTTTTATATTTTTTTCTTCTTCTCAGCTGCAGGAGACAGGCCCTTACATGGTATCCGTTTTTATTTTTTTATTTTATTTTTTTGTACTCCGCTTCACTGGAAGATGAAGGAACAAAGGAGAAAAGGAACATGAGCAGCAGCATCTGTTTTGGCTGAGGGAAAGAAATAGCATTTAGATTTATTGGCAAGTGTTAAGTGTGTTTAAATATGCTCCTGTCACAGATGAGCTTAAAAAGACAAAAGTTGTTTAATTCTGTTCCCATGCTGGAGCGCTAAAGGGATAAAGTGAGATAGAGGGGAGAGCAGCACAGTTTTGTACTTTGTTACAGTCATTTGGAATAGAACTGACATCTGCAAACTAAAGCAGAACCACCCACACCAGACGGATTTCAGATCGACCGCGTATAAATACACGCATGTACACACGCGCGGGCACGCACGCGGACCGGCGCGCACACACGCGACCGCAAATGCGTGGACAGACGGTCCGTGCACACGCGTAAATGCGCGCGGATACGCGCGCACATACGCACGCATATAGACATGCGGCCGCGCGCGCACACGCATGCACACAGTGTGTAACGGTGCTCCGTGCCAGCATACGTGCACACAGGCAGAGCGCACACACAGAAGCACTTGACGAGAAGGCTGGCAGTTCTGTTGTTTGGATCTGGAGGCACCGGTACAGGGTGTAAGTGTTAAATTTCACCTCCACCTGCGCTGGCGGCATGTGAGTCTTCTGGCAGGTTTATGCGGTGAGTTTCAGAACTAGCGATTCAACAGTCTGTTGTTTATATGGTACTGATGAACACTAATCGTTATAGATTTGCATTTCTCTCCTTTATTTATTTTTAATTCCCGATCTCTCTCTCTCTTCCTCTCGCTTCACTCTTTTCTCTATGACAAGCCCAGTTTTATTTCGTCCTCTGTCCGCCCCACATAAAGAAGTTTGCTGTTTGATTTTCAACAGACGCATCATCACTCCACGTGTCCTCCTGTAGTTTTTTTTTTTTTTGAAGTGGGTGAGTGAACCACAACCCCGCTGCAAACCAAAACAAGAAGATGGACCTTTTTTTCCACCGCAGTCTTGTGCTTCCATTTTCCTTTGTTTTCTTTTTTTTCGATACATTTTCTAGAAATAAAGGGTGCTGCTTTTTTAAGTAGGCAGCGGATTAAAGAAATCGGATGTGACAGGTGTGACTCTGCTCGTAAAATGCGTGCGGCGCTGATGTAGGGCGAGTCAGACCCGCGAGCTGGCGCCCCCTGTCTCTTTCTGTGGCTTCTCCTCCCCCTTTCTATCGCTAAGAATCACCAGCTGTTGATCCGATGCCCTGCCGGAAAAATTTACCTGGCTGGCCACAATCGCCCACCGATGGTGGCGTTTCCTGGGCAAAGTGTCCAGCGAGCGCATACGAAAAGGTGGAGCCAATCAGACTCAGAGGAGAGAGAGAGACGTGGGTCAGGTCTCCCACTGGTCGGGCCAAACGGACTGGGTCTGTCCGGTTTTCTCAGGCCTAGGTAATTAATTTGCGGACAGCTTCCCCAAAACACCGCCTCAGGAATGGGGTGTATTGTGCACTGAAGACAAACACTTCCCAGTGCAGAGAGAAAAAACAAAGCACTTTAATCAGGCTCAGTATTTTTTTATTTTTTTATTTTTTTAAAAAAAAAAGAACGTGTGAATCAGTGTAAAAATATTCCAGAATTCTTGCCGTTTAAGTGTCGCGGTCCACCAAGTGCATGCATGCAACTTCCGAGGCAGCATCTGCGACAGTCCGAAACACTACGATCGTCCCGGGCAGCCAGCCGCTCTCCTACCCGCAAGGGATCCGTCCTAATGAGGCCACGGGGAGCAATGTTCGTAAGGCCCACCCTCCCCCCGCCCCGGACTCTTACGCGACCCTGAGACTAAGCTGAGCTGAGTCCTGGCCGTCCACCCACCGAGTCTTGAAGGTGTCTATGAATCCATTACCGAAGGTGTCGACGTATTAAACAGGAAGCGTGTGATTTGTAGGCAGGGTGACGGAGAGAAGCAACACTCCTCCTGTCGGGTGTGAGAGTCGCATGCCGGGAGCCCTGGCACTCGGCCGCCACCACGGAGAGCCGCCGAGCCGCGCCGGGCCCAAAGCGAGATCTGCCCGGGGCTGCGTGCCACCCCAACTCTCTGGCTGCCCCCCACTCCCGTCACCTTCCCTCCGAAGTCACGGCCCGCGCGTCCCGGGTTCCAGTTAGCGATTAGCGCCGGATACGAGAGATCAGTGCACCGGGAGATACTTTCGTCCCGAGTGCTGGAAGCCTGTCTGAGTGTGTTGTTCTGGGCCGCTGCAGGGCTTTTAGGCGTTAGCCCCCGCGAGCGTGCGGCGGTAGCGGGCCCAGCCAGGCCTGCTCTGGATAATCCCAGCATCCCGCCGACTGGGATTACCCCCGCCGGCCCATGTGCCCGCCTACCCTGTCAGCCGCCCAAGTGACGAGATTAACCCTCGTTAACCAAGCCGGACTATTGACCTCGACCGCAAATACCTGACTTGTTCTGTAATTAAACTTAAAATAAATATCCTGCTTTCTGGGCGGAAGCCAGGCATGGATTTGTAGAGATCTGAGATCTGTGTGGGCTGCAGGAATCGACCCAGGCCGGTGCAGGCCTAAGGTCTTTGTTCTGGGGACGCTGTTACCACATTAAACGCCAGTGTTTTTATTACACCTAGGAGATTTATACAGTATAGCAGAGTTACGCTTCAAGGTTACTGTACTCTATTAGAGGTCATTGTTCTGCATTAATACTGGCTGCCGTCAGCCATGACAGTTAGGCACTTTTTAACGTTATTCGTACAAATGGGGCATCCTCAGATAAGGATCCCCGGAGCTGGCAAAGTGCTGGGTCCATCGTTCAAAGGAAAACTTTGTCTCGGGAATGAGAGGGTCTCCTCTCTTCATCGCTGTCTGAGGTCCAACTCGCTTTCATGTTTCCTTCAGCATTGGGGTCCAAATTGCCCAAATTGCGAGTCTCGGAAACTGGCACCCCGCAGCGTCTCTGGATGAAAGTGGTGGAATGGCGGGAAAGTGGGTGGAGTTGCATGGGCCCCGCCCTCCTGAGATCCAGGCCTCTCCTCACACCTTCTTTGCTTCTTCTCTCTCCAACAGGAGCACGAGGGCGGCAAGGGGGCGCCACTGAGTCCTTACGCCCAGCACACCTCTTCTACCTCACCCGCCAAGACGGAGGACGGCGGGCGGCCGGGCAGCGAGCCCAACGCCGTGGCGACGACGGCGGGCATGGCGGGCACGCCCGAGAGGCGCAAGGGCAGCTTGGCGGACGTGGTGGACTCTTTGAAGCAGCGCAAGATGGAGGAGCTGATCAAGAATGAGCCAGAAGGTGAGCACGTCCCAAAGGGCCATGTTTATCACCGTAACATAACTTCTGACTGTTATGTGGATTATTACGGACGTTCTGTGTAATTACAGTATATGTGCTGAAGGGGGAAGAAAGCTCCGCCTTTCTGAGCGATAATTAGCGCTTGAGTTGAGGGCGGAGCCTGAGGTGCGGTCAGGTGGTTAGCAGCCATGTTCACGCCGCAAGACTCTCATCCACTCGTTATCCCTCTGCCCTTAATCTCGCCAGAACATTCCGTGTGAACTCCCCAGTGAGCGCTCATTCACGCATCTTATGTTTAGCTGTTTCTCATTAGTGTCAGTAATCATCCTCTGACCCGCCCCCACCCCAGTTCTCCCCAGTTTCCGGCAGTTTCCTTAAGGTAATTCTGCTGTGTGTTGGCGGCTGATTGGCTCTCCAGGAGGAGGCTTATATATCGGTGTTTTTGTCCAGTCTGGCTCCGAGATCTGCTTCAGCACAGCTGCCCTAGATCTCCCTGTTATCCATTATTATTGTTGTTGTTTTGTAGCTGAGCAGATCTATTAATAAGTGACTCACATATCACCCTCCTCCCCCCTAACTTTACCCACATATGAAGTTAGAGCCGCCGCAACCCCCCTGCCCACCTCCTCCGGCATTTTAGTCAGGCAGTTTTGAGGGCACCCTCCTTATCGGCCATGACTGACAAATTCCCGCTATCGGGCCACTCTCGACTCGCACCTTTGTCCTGGAGAGATGGCATCAGCTGTGTGGGCCGATCATCAGCCGCGTTTTGCATATTTATTGCGGGGCTGATTGTGCTGGGTCCGCCGACTTTCTCCTTTCGTTCCCCATCAAGCAGGGACAGCGACGGCTGCTTCCTCGCCCGGACCGCCGTCGGACCCTCGGAGAAGCGCGTCTCCGCATTTTCCGAGGCGTCCCCCCCCACCTCTCCCGAGTTCCCACGCTCTGCCGCGGCGCCCTCCCGCCTATTCCGGGGCCGCGGTCGGAATCGTGAGCGGAGCGGTGGGGGGGAACAAGGCGAGCTTTGGCCGGGGCCTCTGATTTCCATATGGCCTCACTGCCAGGCCTTAGCGCTGCGTCACACGCCCGTGTGCGAGTACCTTCACACTGCTGAGCGCGCCGTAGTTACAGGGTATCTTTCCACTGTGACATCACAGAGCAAAGGATCGATATTCATACCATTTCTAGAAAGTCCTGAGAACGGCCCACGAGTCCAGCTCGGTCTACGTGCCACAAACTATTTAGCGGTGGGTATACAACAATGACCAGGACCTGCGAGATGTGTATCCACACGCATAAGGGTTCTGAAACGCATGTGTTTGAACATCTTCAGCCATTTTTATGATTTTGTTTTCCCCAGATGTGGTAATGATGTCACACACAGTGCTGGCTCTCTGTTTGTACTTTTGTCACATCTAGTGAGGCAACGAAAAAAATCCACCCTCGACGTGGACAGTCTTGTTGTGATGCTGAGAGAGAAGTTAACTTGGGATGTTCTGTTAGTCTCCCCACGCTCACCGAATGGCACCGAGGTCTCGCCTGCCCACCCGGCTGCGTGGCTCATGTTAGCGTTTAGGGGGAACTGAGGAGAGCCAAGAGGAAAAAGGGTAATGAGGGGGAGGGGCCTCAGTCTGCCTGGACACCTTAGCAGCTAGCGGCAGTCCGCAGTGAGAGATTAACCAAGGCCTTAATCCTCATAAAGGGAGCGTGTTGTTGTTTCCCTGCCTTCACACACACACACGCACACACACGCGCGCGCACGCACATGTAGGGTAAACATATCCTTATGGGGACCGCTCATTCATTTCAATGGGAAAAATGCTAATGCTAACTATGACAACCTTAACCCCTACCCTGCCCTAACCATAACCATAAGTAACCAAACAAAATACAAGAGTTTTTGCATTTTTAGTTTTTTCATAGCAGTCACCGATTTTTATAAAATAGAATTTTCCCTTATGGGGACCAGGAAACCGGTCCCCATAAGGGAAAAAAACGGATATTTATCACGTTATGGGGACATTGTGTCCCCATAAGGATAGGTAAACCCGCTCGCATTTTTCCGGCTCTGGGCTGGATCGGTTACTCGGCACCGAGGAAGCTCTGCGCTCTGGCTACTAAGCGGGCCGTAAAGATAAAGGTAGCAAAAAACGAACGGGTGAGCTTCTTTTCTGTGACCCCGCCCATCGAGCTCTGGCCCCGCCCACCCAGAGGCTGCCAGGCACAGTCAGGCACGCCCCATGTGCCCCCCTCCCCAGGAGCGAGGCAGTGCCCCTTGCTGACTTCACTGCACCTGCAGCCGGTGTGGATACTGGGTCACCCCAGCAACCCCCCCGCCCCGCCCCTACCCAGTGCGGGCAGCAGGGTCTGACACGGCGCCAGAAGCTGGGCAAGACCAGCGCTACCAGCTGGCCCAGTAATAAATTACAGCTGCTCGTGTCCCTAATCGCCTGTAACTGTTCACCTTGTGTCTAGTCCTGCTTCTGGATTCCACTTCCTTACGCCATGTTTCCTCCACCAGACATCCATCTTACATCTCCCACTAGAGCTATCCATTCTCGACCTGCAGAAATCATGTCCCCCTCTCCTCCGTTATTCCACTATTCTTCTTTTTCCTCTCCTCCTGCTTCTTTTCCTCTCGCCATCCGACGTTCTCCCTCCCCTGTCCGCCTTGCTCATCCCTCCTTTCTTCCCCCCACCTGGTGTCCCGGTGACCCAGTGAACCACGGCCGGCCCAGCTGCATGTGTGTGGTGGGGGGGGGGGGGGGGGGGGGGGGGGGTAGTGGAGTGAAGATGAGGTGTAGTAGGGCAGAGTCTGTGTGTCTGTGTGTGAGCGTGTGTGTGTGTGTGTGTGTGTGTGTGTGTGTGCTTTTATTTATAAAGAGCGGGTATCTGGAGCCCAAACAGCCAAGGGGGGAGGGGTCCTCATCCCCCCCCCCCCCCATTGCTGGACTCTCCCAGGATCTGCCTCATGTTCAGATGATGCAGGTTTATCCGTCTATTGCAGTGTTTCTCAGCCCAGTCCTCGGAGACACCCAGACAGTCCACATTTTCATTCCCCCCCTGTCCTAACACACCCGTACCAGGTATTCGGTGTTCTTGATTGGCTGGGAGCTGGGAGGGAGCAAGAATGTGGATTGTCAGAGGATCCCCGCGGCCTGGGCTGAGAAACACTGGTCTTTTGGATCTGTCAGAAAATCCGCTACACTTAGATCTTGACTCTTTACTCTGTAGACCCCACCTAAGCCGGGCCTCTACGATGCCATGAGGAAGCTTGGTTCCCTGGTGCTGGTGTAGGAGATGCCCATACTTGGCTCTCAGAGATATGTGGGGCACAGATGTTTGGGGCCTGAGGGCAGGCGTAGCGCTGTCTAGATGGGTGTGGCAAGAGTGATTCATGGAGAGCGTGTTCAGGAAGGTCCCAGACATACGGATCTGGAAGGGCCTGCCGGCCGGGTTCTGGTGCCGTGGGAAGCAGAGATCCCTAGCCGAGTGCTGGCCTCTAGATGTGATTTATGTGGGCAGGATCTTTCTGAGAGAAGGGAGGTGTAATTCGCAGAAGGTCAGGATTAATTGATCTCAGTATGTATCGCTGATGCCGGGACATTAACGTACGTTAGAGTTCCATTCCTGGTGTGAAAGACAATCCTGCAAAGAAAAATTTGTCGTTACATTGCACACTTGGTGATCCCTGTTCAGATGTATTTCCATCTTCCATAACTGCTTATCCAGTTCAGAGTGGATGCGATGTTAGTCCATCGATAGAGACATGCGCACAACCATGGCCTGGGCCGTCCGGAGACGCTGTGCCACCTTAACCGCATGTTTTTGGGCTGCGGGTAGACAGTCTGGATCTGACCGCTTAGCTTCCAGAAGAGACCAAGTCTGACCGAGGCCAGAGTGACAGGCTGTGGTTTAAACTGTGAGGCTGCTTTCCGGCTTGCCAGCCCAGCTTGGGGTCAGGCATGAGGGCGGGGGGTTGGGGGGGGGGGAGGGAGGGCAGCTTTGAAGCGGGCGGGTATTGGAGTGAGTCACAGATAACAGACAGACAGCCTTTCATCAGCGAGGAAGCCAGCCCCCGGGAGGAGTAGGGGGAGCAGCAGGAGGAAGAGGCCCCTCTAACTGTCCACATGTGTGGGAGCCTCAGGAGGGGGGGTGGCGTTGGAGTGGGGGAGACTTGGTGAGTAAGTAGCGTGGAGGTTGTCATGTTTGAGTAAGAACAGTGTCGATGACACCCATGTCTTTGAGGGTCGTCTCCCCGTGGGCTGATGATCAGGCTCTGTGACAGGGCCCCGTTTGTAGCTCAAGGCCCCTCTTATGACCTGAGGCCCCGTCTGTGACTCAAGGCCCCGTTTGTAACTCAAGGCCCCTCTTATGACCTGAGGCCCTGTCTGTGACTCAAGGCCCCGTTTGTAACTGAAGGCCCCTCTTATGACCTGAGGCCCTGTCTGTGACTCGAGGCCCCATCTGTGATCTGAGGCTTTGTCTTTCACTTATGGCCCTTTTTATGACCTGAGGCCTTGTCTGTGACCTAAGGCCCTGTCTGAGACCTGAGGCCCCGTCTGTGACCCGAGGCCCCATCTGTTATCCAAGGCCTCGTCTGTAAGTCGAGGCCCCTTCTGTGACCTGAGGCTCTGTCTGTGACCCAAAGCCTCATCTGTGATCAGAGGCCCTGTCTCTGACCTGAGGTCCCGTCTGCGATCCAAGGCCCCGTCTGTGACCCGAGGCCTTGTCTGTGACCCGAGGCCCTGTCTGCGATCCGAGGCCCTGTCTGTGACCCGAGGCCCCGTCTGTGACTCGAGACCCCATCTGTGACTCTAGACTCCGTCTGTGATCCAAGGCCCCGTCTGTGACCCGAGGCCCTGTCTGTGACTCAAGACCCCATCTGTGATCTGAGGCTTTGCCTGTCACTCATGGCCCCTTTTATGACCTGAGGCTCTGTCTGAGACGTGAGGCCCCGTCTGTGACTCTAGACTCCGTCTGTGATCCAAGGCCCCGTCTGTGACCCGAAACCCCGCCTGTGATCCGAGGCCCTGTGGTCTGTGGTCTGGGGACTCGTTCTTGTCATGGGTTGGAGACCTCATTTATGATCTAGGGCCCCGTTTTGTGATGGGGGCCTCAGCAGTCTAGCTGAAGGAGAATAAAGAGGGAGGCGCGGAGCTGATGTAAAGGAGCTGGTGCCGCCGGATCTTCCTCCCCAGGGACAGGCTCTCAGGAACCACTGTCACCCAGTGCCAGTGAAGAGCGAGTGGCGCGGGGAGCGGCTGACTCACAGGCTGAGCGTGGGAGAGGACAAACCTGCCCATGTGATTTCCACCATTTGGTAGCAATTAGTTTTGTTGTATAAATTAACATTAAGTGCTGCAGGTTTTTTTTTTCTTTTTCATTTTCCCCCTCTTTTTCACAAGCATTGTTTGTAATTATCTTCATCAAACTGGGGAGGGGGGAGGGGGCAGATACAGATACAGGACCCCAGGGATCAAAAGGAGAGGCAGTTAAAAGGGAGCATGTAACGAGGAGGGTGGCGGTCTTCTCACACTCCTGCGAGAAAGCGGGAGCACGCTCTGGAGTGGAGGAGCCAGGCCAGAGTCCAGCCCGGAGTATGGAGGAGGTCCTGCAGGTGGGGGCCCGTGAGGTGGAGGAGGGGGGGTCATGCGCTGCCGGGGGATGCTTGGAGTCTGCGGCTGATGGAGATGTTTTCTTGCCCCGCCATAGTCTGACTGTAGGCGGCGGAGGCTGAGGAGATGAGCGCCATTGTTTGGTGACTAAAGGTCACTCCCCCCTCGAGAGTCGTGCTCCTTCTGTGTCGGCGCTCGGTCGGCCGCCTCGTTTGCCCGTTTTCCGGTTTGTTTTACTTTTCCATGGCCCAGCTGAGGACATCACGGACAAATGCGCCCCCCCCCCCCGGGTACAGCAGAGTAAATGGCCAGGCAGCATGTTTGTGCAGCCGTGCTCCAAGCGTGCGGACAGGCCTGTCGTGCTCTGCGTGTGTGTGCGCGTGTGTGATTTTCCTCTTGATTGGCCACCCGTGGTGACACTGGTGAGTCTGTCCTCTTCCCGCGGACGTGCCGTCAAGTTCGGTGAATCAGCCGGAATCAGTGTCGGATGCTCCTGGAGCGGACTGAAGCTCAGCGCTTTGCACATTCAGGCATTGTTCCCCCCCCCCCACTCTTTTAAACAATCTCTATTTAAACCCCCCTACAGAACTTTGCCTCTGCCACATGCAAATGAGCACCGAATAAGGCTGGCAGTGTGAAATCGGGAGCGATTAAAGCCCTGGAGTTTGTGTGGCCCTTCCCCTCGACACCTGCCCCGGCTTCCCGCGGCGCACGACAAACACGCCACCAGCAAACATACCCCTTTTCCGGGGGAATTTCACCCATCCACCCCTCGATTATGTAAAAAAATTTTAAAATGAATTTAGACATTTTAAACGCAGCATTATCCAAATGGAAATTTTAATAATCCGCCCCTATCAATTAACACGGGGATCTTGTTTCGTCTGCAAACGGGCATTTCGGAGTCGGTACTAAGTAATGGAGCCCCTAACCTCATGAATATGTATCACTGTTTAAACCTTTCGTACCGCGGATATACGGATGAAATTCATCGCTCCGTTCCCGGCGTTCTGTGGCAGTGGCGTCCCCCCCCCGCACCCGTTTGTACCCCATGTGACCTGGTGGCGGAATCGACGTATGTATTTGGTGGGGATGGAGACCCACTGCAGAAGTGTGGTCATTTTCACACCCTTTGACTCGCACCCTCACCGGTCCAGCCAATCGGAGAGCCGCGCGACGACCCCTGCGATGCACCGCACCTCTCGTCTCAAATGCTGCTGAGTGTTTCCTGTCTCTCTGACAGCGGTGCGGGATGCAGGGACTCCGAGACTCAGACACTGTATACATCAAGTGTGTATTCACAGGCCCTGTCTAATCAGATGCCTGTTATGTCACTAGTCTGATTGCGGCGACTGTTTTGTGGTGTGTTTGTAATTAGGTAACAGACGCTCACTCTCCATATTCCCTCTTCTGTTTGGGCTGAGAATGAAAAGCTTCTGGACTGATTCTTATCGAGTCTGAGTGTCAGGCTGTCCCAGTGTGACAGAGAATTTAAACCCAGCTCTGTGGGGATCAGATGGAGTACGGAGTATTAGTGTAGGATTGTATGAGTGTTGTCATATCTAATGTAAGTATTGAGCCGTCCTTGTCCTTCGGTGGTCGGTGACTCTGGCCCCCATTGCTCGGAGAAGTTCCACTCAGGGCTCCTGACTGGCACATCAGTGCGTCCGCGCGTGAACACGCCTGTTTGTGTGCTCGAGCTGGTCTGTCATCTGTGTTTGCGTGTGCCGGGGGGGGGGCACGTGACAGTGGCACGTGTGACGGAACAGCAGATAGCACAGGAGACAGTGCAGTGGGATCACTGCTCTCAGATAAGACAGCCAGAAAGCTGGGACCAGCACATGCAGGGTTAATGTGCGTGTGTGATTTTTACGGTATGACAAATTTATGCAAGTCTAAGGCAAAAGTAAGCAACTGAATGTAATAATATTTCCTATTTATGCATGATAAAATATTTGGAATCGATGTTTTGTGATTGTAATAGAAATCTGACTTTGTCAATGGAAATTTAAAGGGATTCAATAAATAATAATTTGAAATTCCAGTTTTTTAAAGAGCATCAAATGATGCACTTTTGTAGATTATTTAAATAGAAGAGTGTGAGAGGTGCGTTACGTTGTCTTTAATGGTGCCGCCTGAATCGCACCGGAGCGCGCTAAAGAACCAAAGGAATACTTTAAAAATTAGCATCTTCAGCGTGATGTTTTATAATCGTTTTAAGTAGGTTAAAGAGCCCCCCCCCCCCCAATTATTTCCTGGCCTGGCATGGTGTCGGGGCATGGGGGGGTCAGGGGGCAGGAGGTGCCACACTGCCACCCAGGTCATGGTTCCAGGTCCAGGAGGCAAGGACTTCTTATTTGGGCCAGATGTTCTGAAGCAGCTATGGGATTTACCCCCCCCCCCCCCCCACACACACACACACACCTGCTCTGGCGCAAACACATACATACATACATACACACATAGAGCGACGCAGAGATACACTCGCGCAGACATGCATCCGCAGACGGTGGAGGGACTGCGTCAGTGGCGGAAGTCTAATCAGAGCCCCCCCTTCCCCACCCTTGGCAGCTTGCCGTGCGGTGGCTGGGCCTGCCCCCCCGCCCCGGGGCCCCAGAGGAGCCCAAACAGGTGCTCTCCACTTTTGATTTCAGCGCTTTTAAATGAATCCTGTCAGCT